TTATTAAAATTAAAATTAAAATTTATTTTTTATATAATTTAATAATAAAAAATATATTAATGATTTTTTTAACCTGTGAGCTTAAGCAACATTTTTTTTTTTGGAAAAATAAAGTCTATGAAGAGATTAGATTAAAGTATTAAACAGCAAGTAGCAAAATACAACATGATTTTCTGGGGAACGACAATTCCCATCACATCTGCATTAACGTGCAATTAAAAGCAAAGTTTGATAGCTAACAGCTTTTAAAGCTCTGTCAAACGATTCTAAAAAGTGTCACTTGAGCTTTTTACATATAGTGATATTAGATTATATATAAAGGAGAAAGTGACCGTCAGTCCTGTCTTTCAAAAAAAAATTTGGAGTCCCGACCATAAATGACGTCGTTCTCTTAATTCCCAGCTCTTCCTTCTTTTTCACCCTCTTTGCAATCACCTCCATCTCATCGCCTCCCATCTCCATCAACTCTTCCGATTCCTTCAATTTTTCATACACAATCCCATTATTTTCAGGTGAGGCCTGGATTTCGGTGTTTGCTTTTCAAGCACCTATAGATTCCTTAGACTTCTAATCGCCAGAATATCACCTTTACGGAGATCAACAAATACACCGGCATCGCTGATTTTATCACTTGAATCTACAGAGCAGATAAAATTTTTTTAAAAATAAACAACAGAAAAAGGCAAGAAATACTAAAAATTTGAAACGAGAAAAATGAGAGAAAATAAAGCGGAATTGAAGCTGCATTATACCCAGCTGCTTAGAGGAGCGCTTGAATTAAGCAAAATGAGCCAAATCTTAACCAAAAAAATCAAAACAAAACAAAAAAAAGTCAATGGCAAGAACATCAAATCTCCTTTGAAAAATGATGCTTAGCTAGTAGATTTTGAACACACATACCTGATTGAGATGGAGCGTGAGAGGAGAGATAGAGGATGAGGAAGCACAGAAGAGTGAGAACTAGAATGAGGTGAATAAACTTCTCAGGCCTGGAAGTTGACGGTGAGGGTGGACAAGACGACGGCGAGAACGACAACCGACGAAGCTTGGTTACTTTGCGCTCGTTGTCGTCGTCGTCTTCCGCAATTAGAGGAATGGGTTGAAGTTGTTGAGACGATGAATTGCAGTGGGAGAATGGGGTTAAAATAGTGGGTGGTAAAGATTAAGTCGACGGGGTGGGATTGCGTCTGAAAAATTGAAGGAATCAGAGGAATCCATGGAGATGGAGATGATTGCAGAAGGGGCAAAAAGAAGAAAGGGCTGGGGATAAAGAGAACGACGTCGTTTATGGTTGGGACTCCAAATTTTTTTTGGGAGACAGAACTGACGGCCACTTTCCCCATATATAAATATGTATTTTCT